TATGAGCTCGTGCTAAGATATAGATGGAGGGTATCGTTCCATTGCATGGACCACGAAGGCCATCCAACTGGGTGAAGTACTCTGAACAAGGGTCAAATGCGGGGGTGAGCCGCGGCATGGCATCCATCCATCACATTATTTCCATTGAATCAGGTGCTTGGAAGCTAATAAAATTCGGAAGAACCGACTTTTCTGGTTTACTTCTCCGTCCCTGAGCCTTCTGGGATCTTTCGTTTCCGAAAGGTGACCAAAGTTTATGGTTGCGCAGGTGGAAGTCGTCGAGATCATGGTACCAACTTCCCACCCCCCCCCCCAATTTCTACGTTGGTCGATAGGTTCTGGCTGGAAATTCTTGAACCATGGCTGCTCCCAACCCCTTTGAACAAATGACTGCGCGAAATGACTGGTGGGCCCCACACATAGAAGTGCTTCTTTCTGCCGCTTCTTTCGTTTAGATAACTTTCCCTTAGGTCTTCAAAACTCGCTTTAATTTCATGAAACTAAATCTCTCGCTAATTCATGTGTTACTCAATTTTTAGGACCTTTGAACTTACAAATTGAGAGTAGTTCGCCTTCTCAGGTCTATCAAATAAAATCTGGGAAGAGTAATAAAGCCGGAAATGCTGAATTGAAAGCTGAATAGGGTCAGTAGGAAGTGATTGATCAGCAGAACTACAGAGGGGAAATGCCGTTGGAGGGAATGTACACCTCGCATTTGGAAGCTTTATATGCTATTACGGGGAATCGCGACAAGCTGGGCACACAATGACTACCACCAACACCGCGGCGCCCTCCTCTCATCGTCCTATATCGTCAAGCTCTCGAATCGCGTTCCATGACAAAGGCCGGCTATTGATTACCAGTATTCGCTGTTTTCGTCAATAAAAATCAAGCACATATAGAAACGAATATAAGCTGGAGCAGCTTCCGGTTGGGGCAGGCTCACCATTCGGAAGCAAGAGGGTATCATCATTTTGTTGCTCGACGACAGCAGTCGCGATAAATCTTGTGACCATGAAGGTGAAGCAGACGCAGAGATTGTCGAGACTCACCCAGACAGGCAATATGTGGCGCTTATGGAGTAAAGGTGCGTTATCGCCGGTGTGATGAAGCGCCTAAAATTGACTCTAAGGCCCCGACCCATGCCCGCCCACCACTGGTGACGTGGAGTATAACCAGCATGCTGTGCTGTGATGCTGTCACCGTTCGCTCGTTTTCCATTTTTGAGCACAATGTTGCAGCG